GTCAGGAACGCCGTAGGGTAGAACATCACTTCAACTTTTACCAGGATTTCTAAACATTGACCGAAAAAACGTCAAGTGTCCCCCCCCCCCTCTTTTTTTTGCATTCATCTCCGACCAGATTTTTGCGCCATTAGTGAGAATCTAACTTGTGAGCTTACGCACATCAGCTCAAAGCCACGTTGCCGCTAATGCTGTATCCCGTTTAAAACTGCAGTGAAGATGTCACGACGAATATTGAGTACTTTCACATCAATCCAAATATTTCTTCAAGCACCAGTCATCGTGAAAATGTAAATGTTCGCATTCGAAGAGTATAGAAGTTGTTTATGGCAGTCGTCTTTGACCAGAAAATCACCATATTTTCACCTAACATAATCGTGCACTGCAGGTATCGTCTCCTTTAAAAGCTGTGAGTTCAGAAAATTGCAATTTGCGGAAATTTCTTTCCAGTGAATGAAAACAGACGCAGTGCGGCCATACAGACACATTTCTGTAGCGGAACTTTTTTTGCAAACAACCAGCGCCTGCTCCGATGGCGGGACTTGTGGGCGGGGCCCTCTTGATGACGTCTCATTGTTTGCATACAGGGAGAGGTCTCTTCTGCTCATGAGGAGCGCTTGCGAGAGCATCACCATCTCAGAGGTCTGCGGAGGAGCACAAGGCAGAAAAATCGCACTTTTCTCCGAGAGCAACAAGCTGTGGGCATGACGTTGTATCCCCTGTAATGGGGCGTGTAGCCTCGGATAAGCGTTGCCAGAAGCTGGACCGCAAAACGAAACAACGCGGGATATCTCTCGCTGAACAGGTGATTTTATTTCTTTTCCTTTCTATATTCTTAAACAATTTGTTCTTCTGACCGAGCTTCCAGTATCATTATTTTGATGGCCAGCAGCAGTCGGCACTTTCACGAGACGGCGCTAGAGAGATATGACATAAAAGAAAAAAAACAAAAAAGGAGAAAAAGAAACGCATACAAAAATGCAAACAATGTGGGAACATGCAATAAGTTTGTACTATATACCAGCGCAAAATGAGAGCGTGTAGCGTTGCAGAAGCTATGATATGTACGAATGAAAGCATAGAGGGAATGTGATAGAACATACTGAGCCTGTGCTGTTAACTATATTCGAGAATATAGGTAATCCTCAAGGCAGTAGCATCTGTGTGGAGTAGGACTAGGCTGTCTATGAATTGAAGCCATGTTTGGCTGGTAACTGTTGCCACGTACCTGCATTGTTCATAGTTGAGCCCTTATGCAACAGCATGTCTTTCAATAAGCACCACCAAGCCACAGCAACACACCCTTCCAAACTGAATGTCGTTGGAGTGATTCAGGTATGGACTTACTAAGCGACATGTGGTCTTCGTTATTCCATCATTCGTACATTCTCAGCAAAATGTTAATATATATCGGATGAGCGTTTGCCAGTGTGACTGACTTGAGACATAGTTGATTGGCGCATAAAAAAAACTAAGGACAAGGTGAAGGATAAGGTGAGGACGCAGTGCCTAAGTATTTATGTCCAAATTCAGTAACGCACACAAACTAGCCCAACTTTCATCTTTAATAGTGTTAGTGTTGTCTGTTTACGCTGCTCTCAGTAGCGAACACAGTACAGGTCGCTTCATACATGCTCATCAGAATACAGTTCAGTGTCGTGGCCACTTCTGTCGTTAGTTGATGTCATATCTAGCTTAGCGCTGGGGTGCACCGATTTAGCCTGGCAGAAAATGCGCTTGCGCAAGAAGCATGGCCCGACACCGTCGATGCAACCCGAGCAGTTTAAATAACAAAGGTGTAAAAGAGAAATAAACTACTGTTCGCCTTAAAAAGGGCACGTCCATGCAGGAACCAGAAGGGACACTCATGAAAAAAGCAATAAAAAACAAGAACAACTTGACAATGACAGAACGGTGAGAACTTGCCTTGGGGTATTGCACAGGCTTTGCGGCAGGGGCCCGCTGCCCGGCTCCCGACACAAGGTGAATGAAATTGACCAAACAAACAAATAAGACTTCGTTTTCTGGAAGTCCGCGCACGCATACGTTTAGGGCTTCAGTTTTCAGCGACGAATGAAAATTCAAGGATGCTCAATACTCTACCTTGACTTGTTTGGCAGAGGAGACTTAAGAGAAAAACAAAAGTACGAAAAGCATAAAGAGGAGCCACAAATGAGGGCGCCCATGCAGGTACACTGAACATTGTTGTGAGAACGGCAGTAATACATGAGACAAGAGGGTAAAGAAGGCAAAGTACCAGGAGGGTCTATAGGTTCAGCAAGTACTAGGTCTGAATAGAGAGTTCATTGCGTTACTCATCAGACACGTGGGACAGGATGAAACAGCTATCGTTGTAGTTAGCAGCTGCACTGTATTTGCATCTGGAAGGGTATAAGATCGGCGAAGACCTTATATTCAACAGGAGCCGATTTTCTTGGAGGCCAAAACACGCATGAACGAAGATCTATCTAGTCTATTACGGTTGAAAACAAAACACAGAAAAACAATTAAAATGACTATCAACGGGTGCGTATTGCCGTACAATTCAAAAGGCGTAGTGGTTCGCTAAGGCATGTGCTTGAACCATGTTTGAAACGGGGAATTGTTCTTACGATAAGCAAATCGTGTAGGCTTATCGCGTAGGCTGTAAAAAGCAACAGAAGCCTAAATTCTGCGATCGCCAACTTGTGCATAGGCAAAAATTGTATGTTTAATTAAGGGACAATGAAGGCAATGTCATAACAAATGTAAATAGGATAGTTGAGGTGGCTGAGGAGTTCTACAGAGAGCTGTACAGAAGCCGAAACAACCAGGATGACGTCGGAAGAAGCCATAATAGTCCAGAGGAATTAGGCATCTGACGAGTAACGACAGGGAAAGCAAGGAAAGCCCTAGAAGAAATGTAAAGAGGCGATTCCGCTGGTGAGGATAAGGTAACAATGGGCCTGCTGAAGGGTGGCGGATAAACTTTGTTGAATAAACCAACTGGAAGGTCAAGCGCAAAATGGCAAGCAGATCGAAACGTGCCCCGTGTTTCTTACGCACAAACAACGCACGAAACGTGCTCACAGGTACAGATCAACGCAAATAAGTGTCTCAGTTGTTACTTCGCTCTGTCTGAAACGCGTGCTCTTTTCGCAAACGGCGACTATGTAACAATTGCAGTGACCTTTGAGTGCCCATTAATTACAACAGAATTGTTACAGCGAATGCCAAAAGCCAGCCAAGACGTACGATCCTCGCCACCGAAGGTGCGCAATCAACCGTCCACACCCTCCTCTCCACCGGGCAAAGTACGCGTGAGAGATGAGAGTGCGCGCTGCCACGTCGTGACGATGTGGTGACGCGCGCTCATTGCATTATCTTCTTGGTAATGCTGAAAACGCAATATTCCCCCGCCTTCCCGAGATGCCCGTCACCATAGGTATGTGCTAGATATAAATAGCTTGCCGTTTCCACGATGAGGGACGTGCTTCTCGTAGCTCAGTGGTTTACGCCTCGCACTCAGGTCTCGGACGTCCCAAGTTCGTTCGATTCCTCGTGCTGGAGGCTTCATATAATTGCTATCGCAATAAAACTAGCCACTTGATATACGAAGTGTATCTTGACGGAAAGGCTCCCAGAATCTTGGAAGAACGCCAATAATATCATCTTAATCTATAAGAAAGGAGACGTGAAGGACTTGAAAAATTACAGGTCGATCTGCTTGATGTCCGTTCTCTACAAACTATTTAAAAAATTATACCTAATAGAATTAAGGCAATGAACCAAAGAATGAAGCAGGATTTTGTACAGGCTACTCCACAATAGACCATATTCATACTATACATCAGGTAATAGAGAAATGCGTGAAATATAACGAACTCCTATAAATAGCTTTTATAGATTACGAGAAGGTGTTTCACTAAGTCGAGACATCAGTAATAATGCAGGCACTACTGAATCAGGGCATCAAGAACCCTACATAAACATACTGAAAGAAGTCTACAGTGGATCCACAACCACCATAGATAATTCTCTATAATGAATGTGACAAAATCCCAATAAAGAAGGGTCTCCAATGCTATTCACCGTGTGTTTACAGGAGCGTTTCGGGGCTCTAGATTCGAAAGAGTTTGGGATAAAAGTTGACGGAGAGTATCGTAGTAACCTGCCACTGGCTGGTGACATTGCCTTGATTAGTAACTCAGGGGACGAATTACAGCTCATGATTATTGAACAAGACACGAAAAGCAGAACAGTAGGTCTGCAAATTATTATGTACAAAACTAAAGTAATGTGCAACAGTCTCGGCAGAAAACAGCAGTTTGCCATTGGCGGAGAGATGCTGGAAGTTGTAAAAGAATATGTGTACTTAGTACAGGTAGTAACCGTGCCGCCAAACCATGAGAGTGAAATAACTAGAAGAATAAGGGTGGGGTAGATCACATTCGGCAAGCATTCTGAAATGATGAATTGTAATCTACCAATAACCCTCAAGACTAAGGTATATGACAGCTGCACCTTGCTGGTACTTACCTATATGGAGCAGAAATTTGGAGGCTTACAAAGAGGGTTCAGCTTAAATTGAGGATGGCTCAACGAGCGATGGAAAGGCAAATGATAGGTGTAACTTTAAGAGACAAGAAGAGAACATAAGGGGTTAGGGAACAAACCGGGGTTAAGGATACCATATATAGTTGAAATCAAGAAGAAAAAATGGACATGGCCCGGGCACGCAGCACGTAGGCAGGATAACCGCTGGTATATAAGAGTAACTGACTGGATTCCCAGAGAAGTTAAGAGCACGAAGTGGATACAGAAAGTTAGGTGGGCCGATGAGATCACGATGCAGCAGAAAGCACAAGACCGGGTTGATTGGCGAATTATGGGAGAGGCCTTTGACCTGCAGTGAGCGCAGTCAGACTGATGATCATGATGATCAAATAAAATCTACATATGTACTGAACGCACGGCCTCCTTTCGAAATGGGACAAGAAGAAATTTTTATTCTCCATTGATGGCATTTCTGTAGGTCTTTATTTCTGAATCTAACCCAAGTAGGTGAGATCACGTTATGTTTTTTTTTTCTTTTTTCAGGAGTAAATATAGCTGGCGATGTAAATACTTTCAGCCCCCTGAAAAAAAGTACTGGTAGTAGGCCTACAGCTATACATATACATGCCTATAATTTCTGACAGCGCAAGATGGGTGTACCGCGTTACAATATTCATCATCGCATTACTACAGGTGCGTTACTATCGTGCTCGTGAGCTCCGACGGCGCGTCGCCAGTGTCAATATTCTTGTAGCCGTATGCACTCTCTTCTGCAAAAAAGTGCTCATCGGCGTCCAGTTGCAACCAAAACTTCTGGAACACTGTGTCAGACACCAGGCCGCCGTAAGCTTCTGGTAATATGGTTGCTGGAACGTGTTCGTAGAGTCCTTCAATCTTGTACCCGTGGAAGTGTATCTATAAAATCGTATAAACGAAAAATTACACTAATATGAGCTGCGTTTTTATTACTGTAAGTTATAAGCGAACGCTACCTTCCGAACCCCTCCAAAGAAACGACAAAAACAAAACAAATTTACTGTTTCAAAGAACGCTCCTGTCGCATATTGCATTCCGAATCATGCACTTGCAAACATGGCACCCGGTTCCATGGCACAACATATACCGCGTATGAATAACATCTGGTGTGAAATAAGAATAAAAGAGCGCGCGTCGCATTCGTGAAAATTGCAGAGGTAAGTGCAACCGTATGGGTTTCCGCTCTTCGACGTATGAACCTCAAAACGCAAGCAGTATTTTCCTTTACGATCTCGGTAATCTATATCGCGATGACCCTGCGCCACAGCGGCGGTGGATGCGTTATTTCTGTTGCTGTTGATGTTGTTTTGTTTTTCAACCTTAGCGCCGTTTGACTGAAATCATATTAACAAGTTACAATAATTTAACATGTGCTGAACCTCCTATACACACAGCATGGGACTTCTACCTGACTCCCGTTGTAGAACAGCCGAGAACGTCGTCGACTATTATCGTCACGGAGCTATACCATCGCCGCGACAGCACGTTTTGCGACAACCCCACCTGAAGCATACGCTGCCACAACTGGCGCAGTACAGCAAGTGCTGAATAAACTCATGCAAGTTGAACTAACAGTCGTGAAAAATCTGCTATGTTTAACAGGACCGAAATTCATTAAGATGCACCACTAATAATAAAGTCGGCGTGAACATCGGCAATCCCCAGGTGGTCGAAATTTCCGGAGCTCTCCACTACGGCGTCTCTCATATTCATATGGTGGTTTTGTATACGTTAAACCCTACATATCACTCAATAGCATCAGCGACAACAGAGTTCAACGTAGCTTTCAGCGTAAGACTTTAATAATGAAAAAAAAAAGCAGTCTTGATAAAGCGCCCGACATGCTCAATAGATATCGAGCGAATGAAAATAGTAAGGCGCTCTGTGGTATCATGACTGATGTTTCTTCGAGAGAAAAAACATCACTCAACTGGGCGTCATTGATGCATAACCTCTTAAACATGTTATACAACAAAGCGTGCATCTACTATCTGGACGACTGTCAATAGCAGGTCACCCTCTTTCTCTATCGCAATGCAACCGACGACCTGTCATATCATCTGAGGCCAAATTCACAGAGCTTTTCAGCTTTATTCTCCAATACTGTTCAGCAACGCTACTGTTTTAGGGCTAGCTAAAGATTTCCCTTACGACCATTTCTACGTAATGCGTATCTCAGAGTACACACATAGGCTCTTAAGCCGAAGAAACATACTGCACTTCCACAAGCAAGACGCACGAGGTCAAAAGCTTCGAACAAGCATTGCTGCATATGTTTCGTGCCATTCGGAGCTCCCTCCCTCACTAACAATGATGACGGGTCACGCACATGACTGCCAATTATAGAAGCTTCATGACACAATAAACGTCGCTGAAACAGAAGCCATCTGTCGTTCTCACATATGACTTGACTATTAACCCTTTCTGAGTCGGCCATCTCTCACGAGAATAACTTACCATCATTGTAACTTACCATCATTGGTGTGCATTGTGATAACTGGCTCTTCAATTAAGAAAAGAAAAGAAGACAACCACCCGGTGGTTGTTTTATTTTAAACAGTATAAGAATATTCATTCATTCATTCATGCTTGTACAAATCACAAAGTACGCGTTAGTCCAAAAAAGTGAGATATATATGTATATATATATATATATATATATATATATATTAACGAGATCTAACAGACAGTAATGCCAAGGAATGTACAGGGGAAGTTATTAGAACCAATGGGAAAAAAATAACCTGCTCACGGCTGGTTATTTTTTCATCCACTTTTCTTTCTTCTTATTTACATTTCATTGGTTCTAATAACTTCCCCTGTACATTCTTTGGCATTACTGTCTGTTAGATCTCATTAATATTGTGTTAAAACACGGAAAAACGAGCCCTTAGGTATTCACTTCTTATATATATATATATATATATATATATATATATATATATATATATATATATATATATATATATATATATATATATATAAGCTTGAATGTCCTAAATACGTATCCTTGATTCCAACAATGCGCGTTGATCAAAAGCGATATGATTGCAATGTATACTCGCACCCCAAAACCAGAGGTTCACGTTTTATTTAAAAAGATGAAACTTGGCCTTATTTCAACTTCAGTTTTGTTGCCGTTTGCATTGAACGCGAAGTGCGAATATTCTGAGTATGACACCGGCTTAGAGAGATGCGCCCCTAAAGTTTCCACATAAACGCATGGTTGCTCCTATTACTTTTCTTTGAAACAAAACAGCATCCTATGAGCATCGAAGTGCGAAAATAACTGGAACACCTGTCGTGAATCTCGACGGGAATCTTGAGAATTAATAGTTCGAGGATGGTCTGATCCGAATGGGTGCGCCTTAGCACACCGGCGACAACTCACTCATTCAAATATGTATATTAAAGTAATAGGTCAAGGCCGGAATTCTGAACTTAGGTTAAATATAGTTGATTCTTTAGCCACCTATTTGTTTGCTGCAGCTGAAATATTCTAACTACCCTAACTGTTTGCTGTCGGTGGTTGTTTTATTTTAAACAGTAAAATAACAATCATTCATTCATTCATTCATTCATTTATTCATTCATTCATTCATTCATTCATCCATACTTGTACAAATCACAAAGTACGCGGTATTACGACAAAATAAGAACCGAATCGGCGTTCCTAGTTTTGCCTATGCCTTTGGCATTAACGCTTTCTCGCCGCCGCACTCACTTGGCACACACTCACCCTCTGGATAATTTTGCTCTTCAAGAACGGACGCACAAGAGCGAAGCAAAAGTCGAAGCCTCTCGACTCTCGTATGACGTGCACAGCCCGCAGACGCAGTGGCATGCTTTCCTAGAACAAAAATTTAAGGCATATGGTGAACTCTGTTAGATTAGCGATTTAGATTTTAAGCAGCATTTACTCCTTCAATTTATTAATCGTAGTCGCAGGCATACAATAACATCACTTTAAATCTAAATATCAACAGCGAAACCCAGTACTTTTACATATGTTAGTACATATCCTATGCATTACCATCATTGCCATCGTCATCTTCGTCGTCCCTTTCTGTGTACACTGCAGGACCCAAGCGTGTTGAATTTACCGGCGTGTGCAAGCTGCTTCCATTTTGTGCCTTCGCGTTTTCTCATTTCATCACTCCATCTCACTTTTTGCCGTCTTCAGTGCCACCTAACTTTCTACGATACCGATTACGTCATTATAACTGGCCACTGGTTACCTGTGCCACGCAATGCCAGCCGGCCCGGCTTTGTTTTTTTTTTTTTTTTAATGTCCACTAGGACATGAGCTAACCCATCTCTTGAGGTTCCGCCTATCATTTCGCATTCTATTAACTTCTTTTAAAGTTTCTACCTGTCTCATAAAGCATCATCTACGCTAGTACAAATATTCACCTCTTTGCAAGCTGTTACATTTCATAGCTGAAAGTATCCACACTCAAAAATATATATTCTACTCTTATTACAAAGCAGATCTGCATAGACACTGTACATCGTAAAGACATTTTGGACTGGCGATTCCTCGCTTCGCCATGAAATTAAGAAAGTATTGACCCTTGCTTCGTATTCCGGTCACCTTACCTCTTAGCAATGAATTCCAAGCAGTATTGAAGTAATGGGAAATTAATTAAAGGACAGAATAACTGTAGCGAAACACATCATGAATGAATTCACAAAAACATTTTTTTTTGTATTCGACGTCAAAACAGCACTTTAAAGACTGAGACACAAGTTGGCAAAGACTATGTGAACGAGAACGTTAGAACATAACATTTCGCTTGCGCGTGCCTTCAACATGGCAGTGATCGCTGTGATGAATCGTTCTTTGAAATGCTAGTTACTCATTTTTTCAACATTTCGCTTGTTATGCCTCTCGGCAAACCAAAAGGTATAGCGGGCTTTAGACACACTCTTACATTGAGTATATCAGGAAGTGGAATAAAAGAGCCTGGTTGCTACGTGGTACACGCAAAATATATCCTCTCCAGACTGCGTACGTTGCGACACAATAAAATCTTCTGATTAAGCCTCAATTTCTATCAACATTGAAAGACACTTAACGATTGCCTTGACGCCTTAAATATTCAGTCCTTATCTCTAAACACAAAAAAAAAAAGGTTATGGAGAGCGGGGAGGCTATGGGAAGACTTCACTCCATCTTCCCATACACACCCTTGGGCCGCATACCGTAGCAGCCTTCAACGCTGGCGCTTGGCGTAATAAAGGTATCTTCAATTTAATTCAGTACAGCCTGTCAATAAAGAAAAGTTGTAAAAGCAGTGCATGATGGTCTTGGGGACACTGGCCTCTTTAATAAATAAATATTTCACATAACTTGGGAATTGATGTTATGAGAAGCATGCGGATGGAAGGTGACTGTTGTATTTTTTATTGAGCGAAAAGTTGTGATGTAGCGCCAAAGAAGTGTAGAAATACATGCACACACATACGTTAAACAGCCGCACATGTTTTATATAAGCAGTTGTTTGCAGTGCACAACGACGCCAACAGCAACATGGATATTATAGCAACACCAGATGCAGTAAGCTGCTATGAAGCACTTCTGCTCGCGAGGATCATAGAGCTGGACACTGCTCCATAAACCAACCTCAGAGTATGGTACCTAACTACAATTTACGTTAACCTGACGTGCCGGCTGCATCATAAGAGTACATGTGTAGTGTTTATAAAATTAGATATACAGCACTGCAACCACACGTGACGCTTCACTTGAAAAGTACGTCCGAGACCTGGCGTGGCTCTGGGGTAGATCCTTGCTTCACATTTAATGATGTTATTTTTAGCGGCGTATCTCCATCCTCACGACAATGCCATGGTGACATTTTGGTATTGTCAAAATTTGGTGTGCTTGGGTATGTTGTTACATTTAGACTCAGTTGATAACCCATACAACTGTTTTGCGGTAATAAATTTTTTCGCGTTCTACTTTCTTCTATACCAACAAAAACAGAAACCACTCTTGCTTGTATAGGTCGTATTAACCCTCAGTGTGCTTTACGCATGACTTTAAAAAAAAAAAACTACGCCGTGTGTCAAGATTGTTGCGTATAAATTCTTACATAAAATGTAGGAAGAATTTTTTTTTGGTTTAGATGATTGTGAAAACTGTTCAATATATCCTGTTTTTAATTTGTACTGACCTCTCATTTATTTTTTCATTGCGTGTAGGCTTAATATTTGCATAGTGGGCTATTCAGTAGCCAAGCATCACTTACTGTCACAGTTATAAAAAAACATCGCAGGGATATGAAACGGCTCTCTCTAAAACCTCACAGTACGGCGAGGTTTTTGAGAGAACCAGACGACCTAATCTCACAGTCAGACAGCAAGTTTTTAAACGAAAGTCTGGCATACGTGTGTCTGGCACGTATGGGATATTTGGAAGTGTGGTTTGTTCTACACATTGACAGATACCGATGGGCAGTGGCATGGTCAGTGAGGGGGTCCAGCTACTCCACTCGAAGTTTTCTAATTCTGCATATGCATATATACATGCTCGCATACAACGTATACATGAACATACATAAAGTATGGTACCCCCGCTCCTCCTCCAAAATATTTCTGGCTGCGCTGCTGCCGAATGACCTCACCACTCTGAAGCTACATAACCCAGCATGACATAGGATACTGCAGACACACATAAATGAACAAAAAAGGAGAAAATATCAGTGCATAGACGAGTGCATTGCCTGTCGTCGCTTTTCCTATCTTCCCGGTCCTGTGCTGCGATTTACCCCCATAGAGTCAAATTTGTTCGGTTATGTTCTGTTATACATGTTGTGCTGTGGAGAGATTGAGGTTCATATTACTATGGCTACTCCATATCAGTAAATTCTGGAGCGAAAAAAGATAATGAATGGCCCCAAAATTAACAATCAGCAAAAAAATAGCACACTGAGACCAGTTGATATAACATGTCAATGTACAGTTTGCTTGCAGCAGTTCACGCTGTCATGAGACGTTCACACGCACACCTCTAAATTTCTACTCACAGTATAGGTACTACCATATCATTCTATATATCAACCAGCCCAAACACTCACCATGTTTTCCAATTAACCTTTTAGGCGCTGTTCCTTTTGGGGACCATTCATTGTTTTTTCGCTCCAGAACTTATTGATATGGAGTAGCCGTGGTAATATGAACTATTCTTTTTTATGTGTGGAGCGATTTACACTGTGAATAATTTATGTTCTGAAGAATGAACAAGGGCCAACCTGTGCGAAGTCCGTGAGTTCTTTCATCAGACTCAATTTGCAGTTGATAGCATGTTCGATGCCGAACCCTTCGTAGTCAATGATAATAACGATTCCGGCCGTCTGACCTGATGGGCTACGCTCGAGGTGCTTTAGACACAGCAGGAAGGCCCGATGCACGTCAATCTGAGGCACCACAGCGGGGTTCCAGACGCCTGAAATGAGCGCCATAGAAAAGGTGATAAATGCTAGGCCTGAGGGTGGGAGTATATACCTGTACACACAGTTCTACGTCATGGAACTGAACAAGGTATCAACACAAACAGATCCGAACTAGATAAAAGGTTCGGAGAAAGCGCACTACTCCCTTAAATCGATTTGCATACATATATGAAATGATTACTCCATTGATTGCCAGCGTTTAGCTTGCTATGTGTATGCATTTTATAAAAAGTACTTGCTGGCTAGGCCGCCTACAAGTAACAAATAACCAAGGTGGCATGGCCTGCATTCAAAAGAAGGTTCATACGTGAGAACAGTTAGCAAGAAACAATTCCACTAAGTTTTGATACCAGGAGCATTAGCGAAAGTGGGCTGGCCAGTATTAAAGCACCCTTACGCTTTGTGTATTCGACCCCGGGAAATGTGGGCACTTGGTAGTTTCCATAAACACGCAATTTCCGTCCGAACGGCCTGAGCGTTCGTCTGTGACTCCTTATTGAGTGTGAAAAGTTGTAATCTGTTGTGCCCTTCTACACACAAGCGCTAAGACTCTAGTACTTTGCAAATTTCTAACCACATTCAGAACAAGTTGCGTTTAGGCGAGCAAGAAGGAGCCAAACTCGCGAATCTTTTTGTTAGTATAAGTGATCTTTTCGCTACCTTACCTTTATAATGAAAGGTTGGTTGATTTATTGTGTTTAACATCCCAACGCGACTCGGGCCATGAGAAACGCTGTAGTGGAGGGCTCTAACAATTACGACCATATGGTGTTCTTAAACGTGCTCTGATATCGTACAGTTCAAGGGCCACTAGCATTTCTTCTCCATTGGAAAAGGAAAAAAAAGTATTTTCGAAGTTTTGTTTCACGTGGCTGGAGATATTCACATGTTCCGTTGATTCGGATTTCATTCATCACACTTTTTCAAAGTGTCAGATCGAAGCTTTCAAGAATATATGTTTAGGGGTGTCGGGTTGCATAAACGTTCGTCTAGTCAAGTTCGCAGAGAAATCGAAGAAACTCCGATGGCCAACACTATTCGGTACGCTGCTGGCCATGCTTCTCCAATCGTTTGGGCGTAAAACGTTATGATGACCTTGAAAACTATAAAAACGACAAACGTTTTGTAAACATAAGTAGTGGTCGACTTAAATTTTGACTATACTTCAAAAGAATAGTTGCTCTTTCTGTTACGGCGTTGACATGCCCTCTTTTGCCTCATGGATTTACTGGTTGGCTACGTATATACATCATCGTTACAATCTAATGATAAATATTGGGCTAAAGTATAGAAGGAAAGGCTCTTCTGCGTCGTTATAGGGGTCAAAAGTAGATAACACCCTGGAACACCAACGTTTGCACTGTATATGCATGTAATGATAATTATCCTTGAAGTTTTAAGTACCGAAACCACTATACAATTAAGAGGGACGACGTAGTAAGGTGCTTCAGAAAATTTTTACCATCTGGTGTTGTTTAAATTAAACCTGAATCTAAATACACAGACCCCTAGCATTTCCGTCTCCATCGAATTGCGGCCACCGCGGCCCGGAATTCAATCCCCCGACCTTCAGATCAGGATTCCAGCGCCATAACAGACCACCGTGGCGGGAATGCATACTTGGTATATCAGGCTAGTATAACATAAAAAAAAAACATGGTTGATTCCTCCATGATAGGAATCGGCATAACACGAAAGTAAAAAGTCTCCTTACAGAAGTAGTTGTCAGCAGCTATTGTCGCCGACCTAGAGGTCGTGGGTTCGACTCCCATTGGCGAAGCTTTTTTTCTTTGTCTTCTGGTAGTGTGTATTTTTTCGACGTCATTTAAGCATGTCACTAAAGTCTTGGTGAATCCCGACATGAAACACTTTCGTGTTAAAAGGATGCATTATCTCTTCTTGGTGTAGTAAAATTGCATCTGTTAGAAGTATGAGAATTTCTATGGCAACCAAAGTCTATCCAGTGCACAGATGTGTGTCAAACAAGCTTCAAAAACCATGATCTGCGCTACGTGATATTTTGAAAATGGTGTTATAAACGCCCACTAATCTGTGAGGGATTGATCTTGGCGGTTAGGGGGGGAAAAGCGAGTGAACATCTCACCACTTCTGATTAGCAAAATCTGCCGGCCTTGAGCATCCCTGTGAGGTAGAACAGCTGTTATTTCTCTACAGTCTGGAACTACAGTGGAAGGTCTGAGGTCTAAATTATTTTTCCCCCAGCTGCTCCCGGTGCGATAGTACTTTTTGATGCTCTTCAACGCCGCCTCAACGTTGTACTTCCGTACCCGCAGAAACCGTAGAAGAAAGGCAGACTGGTTGTTCCATTTGAGTCCGGGTTCATCTACATGAAAAAAAAATGGAGGATTAGACACGTCGTGTCTTTTAATAAAACACGACATTGACGTTCTCGAGTTCAGACATAGTTACATTTGAAACTTGCTATATTTAAAAAAATTCTACCTGTTTTTAGTGGCCGGCTGTTGAAACATAATCCGCTTCAGCTAACAGAACAAAGTGAAAAAAATTACAAGGAAGCAACATATCTTCCTCGTAAAGTACAGCCCTATATGCTATGTCTTCACCCGCTTAACACAGGTTTGTTTCTCTCCTGCTTCATAATCGCACTTGACTCGATAAAAAAAACACTTTCTTAATAAACAGTGATTTCGTGTACCTTTTTATATTTTAGGTATTTATATCCCATTTGTCCAAGTTACGTATGAAAGCGATCCCCTTTGCAAAACGCCGGTCAATCGCGCGTGCTTGTTATACGAATAAAGCTGCTAGCATACAAGAATGGTCGATCAGTGTCATAGAATATTTGTGAATCAGACCCCAGGTTTGCTAATCAGTTAAGTTGTGCGAGGCCCCTGCCTGTACTGTTTTGTTTTAACTGGATTACTTGGGAATGGTTCAAGTTTACATCATCACGGTTACTCCATGATTTCTTCAAATTCTGCGGCAAAAAGAGAAACAAGTGATTACAAAAAATTTAAAATGAACAAGTAAAGAAAACAAAACGTATGGCAAACTGAAACAACTTCAAAGAAAATAACGTGGTGATGTACTCTCCTTACTTGTTTTATGTGCACACATTTAGGTTATAGTTCCTTGAACAGGACAAAGCGATGAACATTGTGGTGTACAACTCACTACTTCTATAGAGACTGTCGGTGGAGCAATCGTGGCAGTTCAAGTTGAGTTACGAGAGCCTCGTTTGACATGAAGCCGACATGTCAAACGAGGCGACATGTCAAACGAAGCACGTCAAGTAATGTCGTCATAAAGACTTTTTATGTGACACATTTGAACGGTATTGGAGTCTTCTAAGTGGCTGGGCGAAATTTGGCCAGAGTAAAAACAGCAAAACAATCGGCCCCGTATCTGCATGTTAATCTGCAAATGTCGTCGAAAGACAATAGTCTGGCGTGTGGAGAGAGTGAACAAAACATTTATTTGATGTTCTGCGCAAGAAATTGGTGAATGGTATTCTGGAGGCGCTGCGTTAGCGTGCCTCGGCGTGCAGCGGAAGCGAACAAGCGTATCAAGTCACGTCACACGTGAGACATGAGTGCTATCTGGCAGTTTTCTTGGAAAACTAAGCGCGTGGCTCTGAGACACGCGTGCGCGCCCGTCTCAGAGGTGATAAGGTGTAGAACGCAAGGCGACGGGTAGGTGCCACCACCGTGTCGTCTTAGCAAAGCCTTGGAAACACTCGCCTTTTCGTGCAAGCGTTGCATCGTCAGCGCAGCGTGATAAGCGCTACGGTCCTTAGAATTACCTATGTATGCCTTTTCTAGTAAAAGACGCACATACAGAATATATACGTGTAGTTATGGTGCCTCAGAAATGCACAATCATTGCTTTTTAATTGACAATCGCACAAGTATGAACGATAAATCTGCACAACCTTGGTGGGCGCTGCGGATGGGGTCGGCCGTTTGGGGTTTCGGCTGGTACGTTCAGAGTACCCGGTATCGTTAAGCGTGGACAAACAGACAGATAGACCAAAATTTTTACGTCGAAGGTTCCCAAGAAATATTAAAAGAAATCCGTCTCATGTAGAGGTGAGCAAACTAGACAGTAAGACAGGTCATGGCTGCGCTAAACTGCACCTGCTAGAAGCGAGCGCACAGATGCAGCCTAGCCCGGCCGGCCATGGACAGGTATACTTCACTCTCGATTATGGTAACGCACTGCTGCTATGCATACTCGGAGAATATGCAACGTGGAAGCCTGCTCAGTTCAGTAACTTATAAAGTATAGATATCCCTGCAATCTCCAGTGACCGCAATCCGGCTCAAATCTAATCGCGTGCTCGACCTGTCGCGTGAGAGGACCGTTTTACATGCCAGAAAATATAGCCTTCAAAATTCTATGCACAGTGCATCGTAAGCAAGTAGTCGCATCTCATTCTGGGCCTGAGTGTGCCACAAACACAAGCGTGTGAAAGAACGTCAAACAATCCACCTATTGCATCGCACTCATGGAGCAACAAGCATTACGTACTGACCGTGCAGAAGCTTGGTGAGATCATCCAGGGCCCGCTGTCTGAGCTCTTCCGTTTCTCCCAGCTCCTCTTCGGCGATTTTCCACAGTTTTGCGTGTAACGCCGTGCCCGTCATGATCGTGTCGGCACTAGACGCGTAGATGGTACAAGCCCTGTGAGATGAGGACAGGCAGTAGAGGAGTGAAATCCCACGCAACTTCGGAAAATAAATAAAACACCACTCTGTGAAAACATGCAATAACGCGTTCAAAGAATTAGATTTTAACTCTTTGGGTATAAAGACACGTAATGAGGAAATACAGGAATGGTAACCAGGACATGAATACCCAGTTTGCTAACCTGTTCTTGGCAAGGGAGAAGAGGAGACGGGGAGAAAAAAAACGGGAGAAAAAGAAGAGAGGTCTAATATTGTGAAATGTCTTAATTACAAGTTATGTGCGGAGGGGCCAAGCCCAGATGACCTAAGCGCCACAGCCGATCAACTTTTGTGACTAAGGAATTAGTCCTGCTCATGCAATGCTCTCGGAAGGAGGAGTCACTGGCAGTTTAGCTCGTCACGTCAGCCTGGAGTGCGTGCCTATTTATTTGTGCAGGCTTGTGTGCGTCCGCCTTTGAGGAAGCAATGCCGCGGCACGTTAAAGTTGTATCCGGCTATAAATGCAAACACACGCACAGTAAAAGTTTTTGCACCCAAAAGGGTGTAAAAAGGGTGCTTTTACGAGAAAGCACCCTTTGCAACACCCTTTAACACCCATAAATGGTCGATTGAAAAAAAAGCACCCCTTTGTTAGGGTGCTTGCCTCAATAGCACCCTAAAATAGGCTCTAAGGGTGCTTTTGTGCCTGAGAAGGGTGTAGGTGCCGATTCATCAGATGGAATATGCAGCATAAGAAGAACACATAATTATAATATTTGGGATTTTACGTCTCAAAAACCTCGATATGATTATGAGGGTCGTCGTAGTGGAAGGCTGCAGAGATTTTCACAGTGCAAAAGGCTTCTACCTTTTCGCCTCCGCCTTAATTCGACTGCCACGGCCGGCATCGAACCCGCGACCTTCGGATTGGCGGCCGAGCAGCGCAGCTACTGCACGAATATGTGGACGTTGCGTTAAATGACGGCCTAGACTTAGAATGTGTGAAGGTGCTCTCCAAATACAGCAGAATGTCAGCAGAAGCAAATCGCGTTTCATCTATAATGGCAATTAACTGCAATCCATGTTACGAAAGCTTTCCTTAGCGTTGGTTATAAGCTGCATGTTTGCTATGGATTATATACACACAAATAATGTTCGCCCGAGTATGGGTGGGTGTGTGTGCGTGTAAGCGCGATTGTGTGTACACCCGTGCATGTGTGCGTGCGCGCGTATGTGCGAGTCCGTGCTTGTGTTAAGCGTGCCTGTGCACATGTGTACGCCCATGCATGCGTGCGTTTACGGTCGCGTGTGTGTGTGGCCGTATGTGTGTATACGGTATGTGTGTGCGCCTGTGAATACGTATGCGTGTGTATCAGCCCGTGCACCCTCGAATTTCGTGTGTGTGTGTGTGTGTGTGTGTGCGGGGGGGGAGGCACTGCTTCTTATTGTTTAAGGTCCCACACCTGTTCAGACTGGGAGTCTATATGGGAGGTGGCTTAAGGAATGGCGGTGGTCAACGCACTGTACACGGACTATTCAGTACATGAAAAACAGCTGTACAATTTCGTACCTGATCGTTGCTTACGAACTTGCTGTGGTAGCTGATTAGCTACGCTGAGGTGCTTCTACGCTCGAAAACGTGGGTTATGAACAATTCCCACGGAAAGCTGTCACTGCACTTATGCACAACCATCGCTTATATTAACAACGTTTAACAAGAACGCGCCCTGCCTTTGCTACAGGTGCTTAGCTAGCTCATTGGGCAACCATATGGAATTATGTGCTGATCATGTGGTCAGCAAAAAGTTTGTTATAACAACCTCGGCACGTTTCGTGGTGCGTGCAAGCCTTCTAAACATCCGCGACTGTGGATTAATTTGTTCCAGCTTCGACTACGCATTCAGAGTTTGCGGCACCATTCGCGGAAGTGCCAGACAAAGACAATGCAAAAAGAAATTCCTCTGGAAAAAGGTGTAGCGATGCTCTCCCGCTAATGCCACCGAGGACGAAATAATTATTGTTTCTGGTCATTCCATGGTGCACTTTGTTTTCCGCAAGGTTTGCTTCACTATTTTTCGCCCACTGCAATCGCATTCCGTCAAAATACTCAAAGAACCCGAGGCTGGTAAATAGCCTGCGTCGCTGTGCGACTGGCTGGAAGGAGAGTTGCCATTTACAAGGAGTCATTCCGGGACGAACGGCCGTCCGCCGTATGCGCTATAGCGTTTGCCTTTCGGCGCCGTCCTGGCGGGTTTCGAGCTCCTCCCCCCCTTCCACCCCGCTCACCACGGCCAGCGTTGCTCCCACAACGGCGGCGTAGATAAGCGAATAGTTGCGTCACCGAACACCAGCGTCGACAGCTGCGGCGCCACCAGTGCCTCCTCCTTCTCCATCTCAACGTCGCTCTCTCTGTCTCATCGTCTTTCAAATGCGTTGCGTTGGTCTGGGGTCTTGGCCGCTGTGTGTGTGTGCTAGCGAACAGGCGCATATTCAATGGTGGTCACGCATGACACCGTGTTCGAAGTGACGCTCGGATTAAGGAATATTCATGGAGTGGCGGACACGGACAACGTGGGCCTGTTAACGGTGAGTGTACTGTTTTCGTAGGTAGTAATCATACAGCGCTAGCTGGGCGCCTGCAGCAGCTCTGCCGAAGTAGGCTGCCAACCATTTACAACAGCATGCGTTCGCGGGCCTGTTGCAGATGCCCGATTAAACGTGTGACTTAACGAGTTCACACTGCTATGCGCGATGTTGTGTAAGTGCCTGCATCACTCATACAGTGAGTGATGTGATCACTTAACAAGGGCGGGATTAGTTGCTGATCGCACATTGTCTCTACACTGCACAAAGTGATTGATATTGTTTTAAGATGTGCTTTGGGCTACATCGTAATAACATTTCTATTAATACTCAAATGTGCAACATGCTTCTGTAGGTGTAAGCGTAAAAAAGAAAGAAAAAGCAAAAATTATGTACAGAGGCGCACTGTACGAAATGGCTTTTTTTTTTTTGCTTAAAGACGGTATAGTTGGAGGTGCTGATATGCCGCGATGCTCCCAGCACGTGCGCCTCGGTCTTTTAAGCTATTTTGGACAAGTGCCATCAGCAACAGGGAAAGATCTATCTAGCAGACTTCCAAAGGCGCGTTGTTGTGGCCATCGCCGTGCGTTGTTTTCCCTCGTTTCTGTTTGCTGTTTTTGTGCTTCGCTTTCATCTGCGATAATGTTCGGCGTTATACAGAATCGAGAGAGTATACGTGACTATTGGAGCTATTTGCGGTAGCTCTAGCATAAGCTATGGCTGCTGCAACGTAGTCGGCGTCCGCGCGCGTTGGTGTCGTTCGAGCGCTCTTACTTGCGTGATTGTGTTTAACTGAGTATTCAGGCACGGGTTACGTTTGTAAACCCCGTAGTGAATAATCGCTAATAGCGTGTCCCTGACTGCCATCAGAGGATGGGCTTGGTTGTCGAAATATGCTAGACGCTTTTTCTGAAAGCAAGCTTTGAATTTTTTTTTAAAAAGAAGTACTTTCATACGTGCAAGGCAGTGCCTATTGCAGGCCCGCAACTCTTTAAAAACTGGACGAGCTATCACATCTTTTATCAAATTACAATGAATTAAGATCATTGAATTATAGATGACGAATTTCTGTGCTAGATTAGGTGCACAAAACACATGTTCGCAGCCCTACGTCTAGAAAGCAGGCAAATAGGAAGCACAGCGTCAAATTTGGATTAGATTCCATTGACGGAGCGTCTTGTGGGAGTAGAAAGAACGAGAAAATAGTTCATTTTTGATGCCCTTATAGAGGCAGTCGGAATTGCCCTGATTGGTGACTTGTAACAATTCCTCAGATTGTTAGAGGCGTGATTAAAGTCAGTAAATCTTTTACTTTTTTTTTTGCAGACCTCTTCTCTAGTGCCACGCCCAAGATCATTTGTTCTCATGTAAAAGAGAAAGCAGAGATGTCTTCACTGTTTGTACATGAAGAGGTAAGTTTCTTGTGCATTTTGATTAATGTTACATGTTGTGAACGTTGTACTTTAGGAATTGTTTTTCACACTGGCTCACTACTCTAGAAGGAATTTGACTCTTAGGTGAGTTCAGGCTTTCGTAAGTGCCATTTTTGAGCTGTAGTCTTAAACTTTATCTCATTTCGGGAATTTGCTGTATGCTCGAAAAACTCTTATCTTTATAATACGAAATTATTGGAATGTATGGGTTGTATGCTTCGAGTTCAGTGTAATGTCAAATACACGCCATTTCGAAGGATACACACTACACATTCTTTATATATGGTGCTGCCAGAACAGCACGAACATCCTTTTATGAGAAGTCATATTTGCTCTTATTACAGGATGGGAGGGTGCCGCTGACGTCCTGCGTAGTCTACTCTCCGGCCCCAGCCTAGAGCAAGCCTACTTCCTGAACCTCCACATGGATAACCGAAAAATCTTCCGTGTCAGTAATGACGAAGAAGGAGTGACAGCACTGATGAGTTGATTTTTTTTATTTTCAACATTGTCTACGGCCGCAAGGCCTTTAACATCCACTGTGATTGAGCGGCTTTTTCTCAGCGTGAGTTTGGAGTTTATCAAAGAAGTTGTTCAGGCAGTACGACGCTGAAAATTTTAGTGTCACAATGCCTGAACAACTTTTTCTAGTGTGGTCATGGTAGATGAACAAACATTGTTATTTGTGTAAGTTATTTTGCTTAAATATAGCTGGACCATTCCATGCCAAACGTCCCAGCCACTTTGGCGACCATCTGAATTGTATTTGAAAAAAAAAAGTGCTGACTTACTGCGTTGAAAACACTGAACTGCTAGAATATTTCAGCGAGAAAAAAAGTTTTGTTCATGTGGCTGGCTTATAACTTCCTGGCATAATGCCGTCTGTGTGCTGTTTGTGGAAAATTTTGTTTTAAAACTACCGCTTATTTTTTCTAAAGCAAATTCGGTCTACCTGTTAAGCAAATGTGCTTCTGTAAGGTATTTGAAGCTGAATAATAAT